GGAGTGTGGCTGCTGCACATCAGCAGTGGCTTCCACTGCCCGGTCTTAATTCCACCTTGCAAGTCCATCCCCAAGATACACCTGAAAGAAGGTATCACTTGCCAGTGTGCCTGCAAAGTAGAAAAAAAAATGAACATGTAAAGAAAACAGAAAAAAACAGATTTAAATACTGAAACATGGCTGTTAATGATAAGCTTGACAAAAGATTTGATAACACAATACTTCAGGCATTTTATGCTGCTTCAAATGAAAGGGTATCCCATACTGTCTCCTAACATTAATGATGAGGCTGAGGAAGAATAAACCCCATCAGGTTCATGCCAAGTCTAATAACCCACAGAATTAATGTGACACTTTTGAATACCTGTCTTGAGTCTGTGTTTTCACGTCAAATGCACACCAAAACATTGAAAATGTTGCAAAATGCACTTATATTTTGGATTATTATGGAGTAAAAGAGTTGTCCTGAACTCCTGAGGCATTTAAGTTCTATTCTTCTGAGAATTGAGTGATATTCATCAGTCTTTACCAGATTATAACAAGGTGGGATGCCCTCGCCTTTGAAGCTGCATAATCAGACATAAAGGCAGCTGGGTGTACTATATATCGTATAATACAAATATTCAGTCATGCTCATCCTGTCATGTTGATTTTATAACATGATCTGTCTATGTTTATTTTTGCAACAGCCTCAAAATGTCAAAACATCCCAGAATCACTATGAGTCAGAAGTAAAGCATTATAAGGGAGTAATGCATGCTATCACAAGTATTAAGTATAAAATAGAGTAAGGTACAAAAGTCCGACAGATGCTATGGTATTGTATGGATACTATGTTCAGTAAGTACAAAGTATATTGGTATAAAGGCATAATGCATAAATACATTTTACAGAGGATATCAGCTATACCATTGCACAGCATTTGTCCCACCAGAGTCAAAGGGGATTTTTTGAGTAAGTAAGTCAGGGGTAACTTTCATAGTAGATAAGGGGAAGGGGACCTGAATGGGAGCAGCCACCTTCTTTTAAAAGCTTTTTCTTGTCTGCTATCTTAGCATAGCTATTTATTAATTCATACACTTATGTAACAACATGATGAGATCAAATTAAACAAACTAGCAAAGGTAAGTGGTGACTGTTACCACACTGTACTTTACTGGACACCTGCATGGAACTTGGTTCATTTAATGACTTAGCTGGCCAAAGTTATCGACTGGCAGTTTATTTTGTCAGTCTGGTTCACGTTAAATTGCGTTGACATCCACGCAATATTAACAGAAAGCCTCAAAAATCTCTAAAACGCGAGCTGGCCAGGTAACTCACTGTAAGTGACTGTAGGTATAACGGGACAGGTAGCTTACATGCTCGCGATTAAGGCTATTAAGCCACATTTTTACTGCCGTTTGCAAAGTTCACGAAAATGCATACATTTGTCCATTTATTTGCACCAACAACAGTGATCAAAGCAGTGGCGTAACATGATCCGCGTGGGCCCGAGTGCAGACCTGACGTCACGGACCCCCGATTATACACAGCTGCACATGTGTGTTTTTTCTTCATGGATGAAGGCATTTAATGTTGCAATATTACAATCTTACACGCTCCTCTAACTTTTATAGGGCCTACGGACAACACACACTAAGGGTTACTACACTATTTCATTCTATAATATAAAGTTTCCTATTTATTTCTTAACATTATAGTCTTAAAATTATTATCTTAATAATGGTCATCATCAAGAACAATAAAGCATAATGAGCAAATGAACGACACATTAACATAACTTTATTGGGATCTGAAATTTTGTGAACAGCAAGGAATTGTGGGAACAATAATCAGCGAGCGAGTGGACATCGTAAAAACAGTTGATCTGTGCTCACGCTCATGCAGAAAAGGGGAGAGCGGCTTTTACGACTCTTCTAGTTATGAAACCAAATGTGCTTAATTTTGGCATGTTGGGCAACCTTTCCTCCTGCTCCTTACGCTCTTGCCACTTCTTGCATAAATACTTCATTTGTGGCCTATCTTGCATGCAAGATTAAACCATAGACTGTCCTTGGATTAAACAATTGGACCGTGACATCGTCACATGGGTGGTCTATGGAATGTTGTACATTACCCAGAAACACTTGCTGTCTCAATGACGATATCAACAGCAGAATAAACTTATTATTGTTTGTTTTATTAAGCATTTTGCAAAAAGAAATCTAAATTATTTCAAGTTATAACGACTTTTGTTCAGTTAAAATGATGAATAATGTACCATGATGACATCGAGTTGCCAGCACCAGGACTGAGAAATGAATGCAGTTGCAGTGGTATAAATATCCAGTAGCATATCCTTATGTACTATTACCTGTAGCGTTTTGGTTAGTATGAGAGTTTGAGCAGTGCAAGACACCTATGCTGACGTCTTGTGGGGCCCGGGGGTTCCCATCAACGGGCCCCAGTGCTGTTGCACTCCTTGCACCTCCTATTGTAACACCACTGGATCAAAGGAAGGATTTACTTACGTTTTTAAATTCTGTGAAAATGTGAAGAAATAAACTTCACGCCAGCAATCACAGCGTCCCGCTATTTGTCATTTCTTGGTAGTTTCTGAGTCAAATCTTGGTAGCTATACGAGCGGTGATTGGCCGCAGCCTCCAGTTCGTGATTGGCTGCAGCAAACAATTCTTGGTAAATTCTTGGTAGCATTTCGAGCGCTGATTGGCCTCGTTCTCCAATTCTTGGTAGAATCTTGGTAGCGATCCGAGACCTGATTGGCTGTCACTACCAAGATTGAGCTTGACTCATGGGTCAGAGAATACATTCTGAGAAGAAAGCTCATACCAAATCCTGGGCTGACAGTTTGGCAGAACTCTATGAATGGCTTAGTGCGATATTCAGGCTTAATCATGTGAACAGATTAAAGATTTACATTTTTGTGACTTTTATTTCAATTGTTTTGTGATATGAATTTAAAGTGACACCCATAATCAAACTTCCAATCTGCTTTGTGGTAGTCTCCCACAATATTCATTGCGCTGCTGGTTTTTCTTCCTGCATCTATTATGATCTGGTTCTGGACAATGATTTACCATATAGGCAACTGGAAACAAAATTGCTTGTAAATGTACACTTCTTGCTAATTTTATTGATGTAAATATGAACTTTGATTGTTATTTCTTATAAAAGTTTATTTGATGTTTTGAATGACTTGTACATAATGTGTAAATGATGGGTAATATGTGGGCAAAATTGCCATTAGTGTTACCTGAATATTATGTTTATCAGCTGACAGATGTTGGTTACTTCACACAAAACTAGCATTCTGCAAGGAACATTTATTTCACATCTTGGGCAGAGAGTTTTATAGAACTCTAAGAATGACTCATTGCTCCATTCATGCTGAGTCATTCGAACAAATATGAGGCTTTCTTTTTGACTTCAGTTAATTGTTGATTCAGTGGTGATGTATGAAAACTGGCGAGCCAGCCAGGAGTCGAACCTAGAATCTTCTGATCCGTAGTCAGATGCGTTATCCATTGCGCCACTGGCCCTCCTGCATTTACTATTTGTGAACCATTTGTGCAACCAGTTTTACCACCAAAGAAAGTGGGAGGAAACATGGTCTTGATTGAATGTCTTATATTTTTATTGAAGTCTGAGTTTCGATTGGTAATTCTAGGACCTTGAAATTAATGGTTCACTGGATGTTTTGATCTAATATTATTTGCACATTATGAGTAATACCTCAACAAAATTGTGACTGGCGTTACCTTGTATTGAGTACATTTATGTACTAAGACGTTAGTTCATTTGCGCTAAAAATCAATGCTGGAAAAATCCTCATTTCTTCTCCTGGGTGGAGCATTTCTCTGAAAAAAATGAATGGCTAATTTTTACATTCTTGCTGACTCATGCAATCAGGTGGGAGTTTTTGGTTTTTGCCACGTTTTGTGTTGTTGACTTTTGATTTGTCCAAGATGGGCTAAACAAGACAAGACAGCCAGAATCCAACTGAAAATCTTGTAAACAATAGTCTCATGCATTATTCATTGCTCCTCTCGCCTTTCTGCCTGTATCAGTTGCAATCTGGCTACGGACCCTGATGTACCACGTGAGCAACTTTGAGCCAAATACCTTGTGATTTTGCAAATCAAGCTAATTTTAATCCTTGAATGAGTTTCAATTAGTAATTCTAGGCCCTTGAAATTAATGGCTAACTTGACTTTTTGAATGACATATAAATAGAGTGTAAATAAAGGGTAATAGGCAACATCGGCAAAATTGTGATTGGTGTTGCCTGCATGTAGTGCATTTATTAGGAGACTGATGTTGCTAACTCAATTCAGAAAATACATTTTGGGAAGAAAGCTCATATCGAATACTGGGCTGACAGTTTGTTAGAACTCTATGAATGGCTTAGTGCGATATTCAGGCTTAATCATGTGGACGGATTAAAGATTTCCATTTTTTGTGACTTTTATTTCAATTGTTTTGTGATATGAATCTAAAGTGACACCCAGAATCAAACTTCCAATCTGCTTCGTGGTAGTCTCCCACAATATTCATTGCGCTGCTGGTTTTTTTTCCTGCATCTATTATGATCTGGTTCTGGACGATGATTTACCATATAGGCAACTGGAAACAAAATTGCTTGTAAATGTGCATTTCTCGCTAATTTTATTGATGTAAATATGAACTTTGATTGTTATTTCTTATAAAAGTTTGATGTTTTGAATGACTTGTAAATAATGTGTAAATGATGGGTAATATGTGGGCAAAATTGCCATTAGTGTTACCTGAATATTACGTTTATCAGCTGACAGATGTTGGTTACTTCACACAAAAATAGCATTCTGCGAGGAACATTTCTTTCACATCTTGGGCAGAGAGTTTTATAGAACTCTATGAATAACTCATTGCTCCATTGATGCTGAGTCATTTGAACAAATATGAGGTTTTCTCTTTGACTTCAGTTAATTGTTGATTCACTGGTAATGTATGAAAACTGATGAACCAGCCAGGAGTCGAACCTAGAATCTTCCGATTCGTAGTCAGACGCGTCATCCATTGCACCAAAGAAATAGCGCATTTGTTGAGGTTGCGTTACTATAAATAGTAAAGCACTACCAAAATACGGCCAGGCGAACACGAGTTCGAACCCCGTGTCCGTCCCACTTATTAAATTTAAATTCTGTAAACTTTTTATAAATAAATGGTTTTACTCTACAATAATATATGGATTACTAAAAGACAAATGATTGCAATCAAGATGAAACATAAAAACAGTTTTTTGGTGATTTGTTTTAAAGTACTGTTATATTTCCATACGCAAATTTAATGTCATTGTCTGCCGTATATGGATCTTTTATTGTTGCCGACGGTAATTTATCATTGATGTGCTGCATTATCAGTGCTCTCCAAGTTATATGTGAATATTGCCCGTTATGTTTAAGCAACAAAGAAAGCACTGTGTGCCGTATGTAAACTTATATTTTATAATATTTAACGTCGCTATATGCATTGAATAAGAATTGACCTTCACGTTAATATTACAGGTATAAGCTTACCATTATGATCAGACAGTTGCCCATCTTGTACAATTCCTCTTGATTCTGATGTGTGAAGCAACATATCTTTTCTCGAGTGAATTATTATTAATACTTCATAACAGTTAATTATTAATTAACTTGCCGAAGTGATATGCTGCATATTGTATTTGAGTGAAAAAACAAACTTTACAATCTTTACAAAATGTATGAAAACAGATAAAAAAAACAGTTTAATAATAAAATCAGTACAACATTGGATATTAATTATATACATTTCAACAGTAAACTCAACGGGACCATAATTAAATGGAACAGAATAATCCAGAACACACTGGCTTATAAAGAACATAACTGGATATACTCTAATAAAATAGATAAATAGATAAGATACTCTAATAAAATATCAGTGGCAATAATATATATATATATATATATATATATATACAGCATAAATTAGAGTAATATATAATGCAATGAGCAACTATAAACAAATAAGCAATGCAGTAATAAAGGCAGTGTAATCAGTAAGTGTTAACTATCATCAAATAAATATATACATGTCAACAATAAATCAACAGGAATAGAATACAACAGAACAGAACAAAAATAATACAATTTAGAACAGCAGGATAGCAATGTATGCCCCATTATAGGGACAGACATCAACTAAAATCTGGGACTTGTAAATATAATATAATAATAATATAACTAGAATAACATTTATATAATAGACTACAATATAATTTCAATATAGTTGTTAGGATCACCCCTATAATAAATATAACAAAATATAGATTAACATAATGAGAATAAAATGTATATAATAGACTACAATATACAACCTCAATTCCGAAATAGCTGGGACGAAGTGTAAATTGTGAATAAAATCAAAATACAATGACTTTCAGATCACATGAGCCAACATGTTATTTACAATAGAACGTAGATAACATTTCAAATGTTGAAACTGAGACATTTCACATTTTTATCCACAAAATGAGCTTATTTAAAATTTTCTGGCTGCAACAGGTCTCAGAAAAGTTGGGACACAGGCAAAAAAGGGCAGAAAAAGCAATTAACATATAAGTGAATCAGCTGAAAGAACATTTAGCAAGTAATTAACTGGCATCAGGTTTGTAACATGATGGGCTATAAAAGGGATGTCTTAGAGAGGCTGTCTCTCTCAGAAGTAAAGATGGCCAGAGGCTCTCCAACCTGTGAATGCTTCCGTAAAAAAATTGCGGAATATTTGGGTTGTATATAAAAGACAGGGTCGCCCCTGTATTAAAATAAAATAATATAATATAAATAATTACAGCTAGAATATATATAATTTGAATATAATTGTTATGGTGGCCCTCCTTTCTTTGTACCATACCCCCACGCTTCAAGAGCAGCCCTCCACTCTGTCAGGGTTGTGGTGGCTGTGGCCTGGCAGAACCAGTTGCCAAAATATTGCTGGTGAGTGGCAGGGTTTCGCTCCTTCTTACATTGTTTACACGTGATTGTGTCGCTCTTCCTGGTGTATTTTCGCTTTGCCTTGCCACTCTGCTCCTCCTGTCTTTTCCTCTTGTGGTACTGCTGGGTGGTGTATTGCGGTTGTGGTGCAGGCTGGAGAGGTTTGGGTGCAATCAGGAGAGGTTGGGGCGCAATTAGGTGAGGTTGGGCCACAGTCATAGGAGGGGCCACAGTCAGGTGCGGAGCCACAGTAAGAGGAGGGGCCACAGTCAGGTGAGGGGCCACAGTAAGAGGAGGGGCCACAGTCAGAGGAGGGGCCACAGTCAGGTGAGGGGCCACAGTCAGGTGAGGAGCCAGAGTCAGAGGAGGGGCCACAGTCAGGTGAGGGGCCACAGTCAGAGGAGGTTGGGGAACTGGTGCACTTGTGTGGAGAGGTTTGGGTGCAATCAGGAGATGTCGGGGCGCAATTAGGTGAGGTTGGGCCACAGTCAGGTGAGGGGCCACAGTCAGATGAGGTTGGGTCGCAGTCAGATGAGGGGCCACAGTCATAGGAGGGACCACAGTCAGGTGAGGAGCCACAGTCAGAGGAGGGGCCACAGTCAGGTGAGGTTGGGCCACAGTCAGAGGAGGGGCCACAGTCAGGTGAGGGGCCACAGTCAGAGAAGGGGCCACAGTCAGGTGAGGTTGGGCCACAGTCAGAGGAGGGGCCACAGTCAGAGGAGGCCGGGGAACTGGTGCACTTGTGTGGAGAGGGGGCTCAAGAGCTGCAAGAAAAGGTGGTCTCAGACCAGCAAATGGCTGGACAGATAGATTACGTCTTTGTTTAAGCTTGGCCATCCCTGCAGTTTTTGGAGGCAAAATAAAGACATGAGGATTTGCCACACTGCTGCGAGGCATACAGGGCTTGCCTTTCCTCTCAACTGCAGGAGGTAAGCTCTCTGGGCTCACGATGGTGGCATTTGGAGTAGATATGCCCTGCTCCAACATACTCCTCTCCTGTTTTCTTTCCCGTTTGCAGTACCTGAAAAAATTTTGATTCTCATTTTTTGAACACTACACTGCAATATACAAGCACAAAAAAAGCATAGATACTAACTTATTATCACAATTGATTAAGTGTTTCTTAACTCACCAACTAGTGATAGTTGCACTATTCATCACCGGGAGCTGGGCAGTGGTCTTCTCCATTACCACAGCATTGTTTAAAATTACCTGCCAGATGTGCAGATAAGCCCTAGTGACGAGGCTCCAGCGCTCTTGCCTGACTCTGTTTATGCACCTGGGGCCACTGTACTCCTCACAAAGTTTCACAAAGAGTGACTCACAAACACGATTACAGTCAGGCCACTGTGCTGGACTTCTGCCTCCGGCAAAGCATCTGTAATTGCAACCATATTGATCAGCATTAGTGTTTGTACAAAAAATTATATCATAGCATGCTCCATCGCCATGCTTACTCAACAAACATGCATACCGTTTTGTACTCTCCACACCAGGCGCAACAGTTGTTTTTGTGGCTCTGAATCTCCCTTTTGAGATTGTATCCTGGTGGCGTGGAGGGTATATTGTGCGTCCCTTGTCATATTGGGACAAACACTCCCACAGAGTGATTATTTGGGCCACCTCCTCCCTTGACAGGGCAAGACTGTGGTCTTTCAATTTGAATAAACAGTCTGCCAAATCCTGCACTGCTTGAAATCCCTCAATATTATCAGGACCAACACAGTCCTACATGAAATAGAGTGATAAAAATCAAAAAATATATTTTACATTTTCAAATATTATGTCCATTTGACATTATTACAGATGCAGCTGGAAGAAAGTCTAAACTTGATAAAAAATGTCAACCTACATCTTGACTGGCAGAGCCTGATGGCAGCAAAGGCTGTTCAGCATGTTCATATGCTGAGATTTGATGGTCTTGCTGTGGAACTATATTTGAATAAATGGAGAAAGAATGTGTAAAACATGTATTCTTGACTTTTTTCAATTTTCAAATAAGACTACCATATTTATGCAAATAATGTTTATACATTTTCATGGCTGATAAAATGGAAGGATGTGCTATCTCTAAAGGGAAAATTAAACTTCATATGCAAAATTGTCCTTTGATGAATGAGAATGCTTTCAAAAGAAATGGAAAGTGTTGTCTCCTTTAAATAAGTGAAGAAATAAAAGATTAAAAATTTTTTTTTCCCATTTAACCACAGCACAATGCTTTAGCTGTATGCATTTATTATATAGAGTAGGTTACAATCCTTACAGCCTTATTAGGACATGTTTTGACCTCTGACCTTGATGAGCGCAGAGAAGTGCCTCATCCCTGGATTGGGGGAGTGCTGGAGTGGAGGGTCAGAGCTGAGGACAAAGGCTGGAATCGGATCCGTCAGATCTCCCACAGCATTCAGGAACTGGAGGGCAAATACCGACAGAAAGGAAAAGAAAAGAAAGTACACCAGATGAAGAGCTGGTCAGCAAATAAAAATGAATAGTACAGTTTACTCTGTACTGAGACAGTCACCAATCAGAAATGTGTTCTATATAAATCAAAATTAGTGCTAACTGTGACAAAACTATAAAAACTTACCAATCTGCATTGTGGTGGCAGTGAAAGATGGAGATGGAGCAGTTGGGGGTGCTGACACAGTCGCAGGCAGTGCTGTTGGCACAGGTGGAGTTGCTGCAGCAGCTGGAGGTCTAGATGATGGAACAGAGGCTGATGGATTACACTCATGTAGGGGCCATATTGTGTCCAAGGTTGGCACAGTTGGATCTTCAAAGTTCAGAGGCTCCAAACAAAACTCCTCTGCAACAGAGACATCCTCTGTCTCCAGGGTTACAACAGCTGACTTGTAGTCCTCCATGACTGCATTATTTTGGCTGGACAGGTATTCCACACCTATGAGCTCTCCTGAAATAACAACAACAACAAAAGTGTCAAAAATAACTGACAAGATTATGTACCCAGCTAAAACCTATTACAAATATTAATTTACGACATGCGCACCGGTGTATTTCCGTGGGGCTGTGTACTCCACCAGTTTTCTCCCAAGCACCTCCTCTGACAGCTGGTTG